CACTGTAACTCCCCCTTCTGGATGGTGTCGGCGTGAACTAAAAGGTTCCTAGTTTGCATTAATGTACTAATCTTCTTCAAACACAACACCATAGCAGAGAGGCGGTGGCAGCATGTGTGATGACTCAGGTTAGTTCCCTGAGTACAAACCAGCCTGACCGCTTAGGTACATGCTTGGGTGTCTAGCCTGAGCCATTGCCCATGCCACCGCAGCCATACTGCTATTTTTAGTGCACTAGCTCAAGCAGAGCTAGCACGTGTCTGTGTAGTAGCCACTCTGGGCAGCATTCTTCCATCTGCTGTGTAGACATATCCTAAAAAGTACTACCCCGAGCACAAATACAGAGGCAAATTTCCTTCAAAACATACACACACCAAACCCCCACGCAAAGGCAGATTTCCAAAAATCACTTGCCTCCACCCATCACACACAGAGGCGAGCTCTCAAAACAAACCAACCAAAAAATTCACCACTACACCCCTTCACCATGCCCTTAGAAACATGGGCAAAGGCTCCACATAGCTTATTTTCCACTGTATTTCTCTTTCACACTGCTGTACCTCCAGCTTACAAAGAGCTACTGAAGGGAGCAGTCAGCCACCTAAGCCAACTGCTGCTGGAGAGATAAAGTTGCCCCATGCCCTGCAGGAGCCCCAGCAGCCTACAGCAGCCCACAGTAGCCTCTGTCACCAGTACAGAGGAGAAGAGGAGTCATATTTAACAGATGATGCTGTAGGGACTGGATGGAGGTTTCTTGTGACACCTCAGTTTAGACAGTTGAGACACAAAGACCATTTTTTGCTATTATGATTTGCCTTTGTCTTTCCCCTGGATAATTTTACTGTAGAATTACCAGCCAGTTTCAGTAAGGCAGTAATGTCTTGGCTAACAGCACATCACAAACTAACCAAGATTTATTAATAATGGTTCTGACATTAAAGAGTACTATCTTCAAATTGCAATAATCTAATTTTATAGATGCACTGCTTAATGGACCCACAGCAACATAGGCAGAGTTCCCAGACTGCTAAGCATCTCCTCTTAACCAGTTTCATCTGTCAGTGCCTCTCGACAATATTCCTATTTGTGTCTCTGGAGAAAAATTTGTAATCAAAAACAACACACAAACTACAACAACCTTCTAACCTGATGTGACTGATTTTGTTAATGGACTTCTATTTTTCCACTCTCAAAGTGCAAATTCATGTTATTAATTTCAATAAAAATGATTTAAAATGACAACTACATCTGTTTTGCTAAGCAAGGCATCCTGAAAGTTCATAAGGAAACAAGTACATCTCATTGGGTCAAATCCTAGAGGTTCTGAAAGCCCACATCTTCCACTGAAGTCAACAGGAATCGCAGGTGCTCAGCACCTCTTCAGAACAGGTCCAACCGAATTGAAAATAATCGTTTTAATTATAAAGAGTATATCTGTGGCAGTGTGAGAGTCAGTGGAAGAGATTGGAAAAGAATGTCTTACATCTGGTTTAATACAGTAATACCTATCAATTGAGTTCAGCTGCAGCTCTTTTGTTAACTGTTCTGATCTAAACTTTGAAGCCAACAGCAGGGCATTTCTGATGACCCCAGAATCAGCTGGTTTTATTGGTTTGCCAGAGCCTGAGTTTATTGATCCTCAGATCAGGGTGCATGGCCTATCTGTTCATCGGGCCTTAGCCCAAATACAGCTTTCCATGCTCGTGTCTACTGTCTTCAGTGGGAGATACAGGCTCTCAGCATCTCTAGGATTTGGCCCAAGAAGAAGTGCTTAGTCTCTTAGCACTTTCAGAAAGCTGCACTTAGCAAAATGGATATACTTATTTTTGTAATTAACAGTGCCTGAAAACGGCTATTTTGGAGTTGGCTGGAGATGGTATTTTCAATTTTTCCTCTTTATGATGCTGGTTGATAATTAATTTGGCAAGTGTCTCTTTTCTCTTAATTATTATCAGGATGTTTGTGTTTTTTAATCAACTGTTTTTTTTTAAAGATGCAAATGCATCCAGAGGCTTGAGAAATGGGCCATTTTAGAAGTATGGAAATTAAGGAACAATTAAATGAACTTCAATGTTTTAAAAATTAAACATATTTTTTAGAATATCACACATTAAACCTTTTCCAATTGCTAAACCAGCAGAATGGAAACTGGCTTGCAGCCCGTAACAATCTGACCCTATGTTGCTAGGGTCACGAATGACCTCACTTTCTGCAAGATCCCAGTCATCAGTGGGTGGCTCAAAGAATGCAAATAATAATATGCTCATATATATTTCACATTTCATTCAAAAATGCTTCTTTTGTGACCTTTTAATATGCTGGGCAAAATCTGTTCTGTATTCCTTTAAAAATACCAAATTAATAGCATACTGCATCACTCCCTTGACATATGTTTGTTACACAGACTCCCAACAAGAATTCAAACAGCAGTGACGACTGAGACGATTTGGGGAAGGTACTCAATGTCTTTGCACAATAATAATGAAATGATTAACAGAAGACATGCCTGATGTTGAAGGAAGAGTCCTATATAGAGAATTTATATTCACAAATGGCCATTTTATGTAGGTTACATAGAAATGCTTTTTGCAGAAGAGATCTGATTAGACTTCTTATTTATAAATGGTACAAAACATTCCTAAATGGGACTGGTAATATTCTGATCCCTCTCAGTAGCTATAAAAAGGAGACGAACACCAAGAAAACTGGGCAAAAATCTTTGTTTTCACTTTGCTGGGTTTTTATTTATTTATTTATTTATTTATTTATTTGAATGAGTAGTTTGTTTGTTTTTTTTTAAGACCAGAATTCTCTCGAGACGAATTATGCTAAAAATCTCAAAGTTGAAGATGACTTCCAAGAGAGACATAAGCCTTAAACAAAACTTTGAGATTTTCATCTGAGCAACAGCAGCATGTCCCCTACACAATCTCTAGGATGCTTGAGCTATTTAAAAGACAAACTTGAATCAAAGAAAATACACAATCTTACACTGCACATTAATTCCATCTAGAAAAGGGAGTTTGGGATTTTTCACCAATTTGCCTCAGCACATCCTGCACATGTAAACTGCAGCTCCTGAATTTCAGCAAAGTACTCAGACAGCTGAAATATAAGAATTCTTGCCTTACTTTTTCAAAGTGCTTACCCAACATACTAATGATATGCCATGGAACAGCAATTGATCTTGCACCACATTAGTTAAGTCTACAATATGTTAAATACATAAGGGAACCTAATTTCATCACATCCAGGAGAACTGGATCACAATCTATGTTAGCAGGTGGTCAGCACTTTAGATACTGCAGTGACAGATGCTATTAGAAATACCTTGGGCAAATTATACAGACAGCATCAGTGCAGTTTCTGGGCCAAGTAATAGCAGTTAGATCATGCAGTGAAAGAAAGTCTGATTTCAATTTTATCACTGTAAATGCAGAGAAATCCCATTGACTTTAAACATATTAGGAGTCAATGGGTTTAAATTGGATTTATACCAGCAAAGATTAGAATCTGGCCCTCTGAGCAGGAAGGAAGAGAGGGTGGTATGTACCAATTAACACAGAATAGTACATAGATCAATATATTCACAAAGAGAGATTAAGCACAAAGTATATTTTTAGCACCATTTGTTTGAAAATACAACTGTGAAAAAACAAACAATCTAAATAATAATAATTCAGTTATTATTTATATCATGGCAGTGACCAGTCTGTGCTAGGCATTTCCAGAGAGACCTTGCCCCACAGATCTCACAACCCAAGACAGCAAAGAAAGGCAAATCTGGATATAAGATGTAAAATATTCCCATGTTTTATTTGCCTATTTTTAAAATACATATTAATTATCCTCCCCTGGCTCTGTAGCTAGCCATTGTCAGTTGGCTAATTTCTATAGGCATCATGTTAGAAGTGGGTCTTGGGGTAGGGGTTTTGAAGAGGGGAAGGAAGTGTTCTTAAGAACCAAGAGGATGTTCCATGTGTAAGATGGGTTATGGAAGGAGGAGTGGAGACAGCTGTGGAAGAAGCAGATGATTATGTTTTGAAAATATTGGCATCAGTCACCTTGGAGAGGCACTGAGCAAGACAACCGAAGACAAAAGTGGATAAGTAGAGAGGGGATAGTTGTGAAGGGCCTTGATGGTGAGGACAAGAAGCATGAAATGGATGGGCTGGAAAATGGGGAGCCAATGGAGGGCTTCAGAGAGAGCTGTCTATCTAATCTAATCACCAGGTTGAAAGGAATTTGCAACTGGGCTGCACTTCAACAGAAGTCTGAGTGAGATCTGAAAACATCACAGCCACCACCCCCTCAACCACACTTGTTCTCATTATATGAGTCAGTTGTGCTTGGAGTGTATCACAAAGAACCATCTCAATTGCCCTCCGCAAAATCCTATGCACAGTGGTGTGGGTGTAATGAACAGCAATCGGTTACACTGAAGGCAACAGTGCTGCAAAAATGTTGTCGGTCTTGCTCAAAAGTGTCCAGGGGAGAGGGATATGCAGATCTAGCAGCTGTGTCCTATTCTCTGAACTTTCACAGGTATGGGCTCAGGTTGGCCAATGCACTGACTCTCAAAGCCAAGAGTCACATCTTCACAGCATAAAATTTAGCTTCCAGAAGAGTCTCCAAGAGAAGCAACATTAAAATAGTTACAGTCAACATAATGCAGATTGGTACACTGCAGAATTATGAGAAACTGACAATAGTGTCAATGGCAAAACTGCAAAATGCCAATGATGATGACCAAAGAGAATAATCTATTTCAGAACAACATTATGGCTCTCTCATATTCATTCTGCCTGTGTATGAGGGGTAAGAGAAAGCTGCAGGAGTTCTTATTCTGCTTTATTTCATCAGAGTTAACAAACCAACCTTAATGTCATAGAATAAAGAGCATAGCACACTGGGAATGTCTTTTTAATTAAGCATCTTTATATAAACACATTGATGTCCTCGCCCGCCCCAAAAGAGAAGTTTTGTTTGTTACCTCTTACCGACAGTTATTTTGACAGTTCTTTTCTGAGAGTCCATCCTCATCTTCTCCCATTATATCCACTGCAGAAAATATCAGTGCAACCAGAATCGCAAAGCAGCACACCAGTGCAAAGATCACAATGCATTTTTGCTGGGACTGAAAGAGAATAAGAAGATTAAAATATATATATATATATATATATATATATATATATTTAAAAAGTTTCATGGAGTGGGCATCGTTTAGTCAATGAACAGAGATTCTAACACTTTTCAATAGGATCTAAAACCATTTTGAATATACTCCTGACATAACTGTCAACATGAAACACATTTTGGGATGAAAATATTCTTTCAAAACCATCCTTTAGTATCATCTTCAAGTTTACATTAAATGTAGAAGTTATTGTTAAATAATTCATGTCGCAAACAACATTAGGATTATAGAACTAGTTTTCATTTATACCATGATGAATGTATTATCCAATAAAATAGCCATTCCTGCATTAATTACATATTTCTGATTAGGCACCATAGATATGACATATATGACAGTTTGGCATTGCAAAAGTCTTGAGAGCTTTTCTTTATTTACTTGAAAACAAACATGTCACCACAAGAAGGCTGAAGAGCAAAATGGGTAGTTGACATGAAAATTAGCGCTGTCAATTAATTGCAGTTAACTCAAATGATTAACTCAAAACAAATTAACTAGATTTTAAAAACTTAATCGTGATTAATCATAGTTTTAATTGCACTATTAAACAATAATAGAATAATAGAAGGCTAACTGAAATGTATTATAAATATTTTTGTCTGTTTTGCCACATTTTCAAATATATTCATTTAAATTACAACACAGAATACAAAGTGCACAGTGCTCACTTTATATTATTATTTTTGATTACAAATATTCGCACTGTAAAAAAGATAAAGAAATCATTTTTTTCAATTCACCTCATACAAATACACCTGTACCCCAATATAACATGAATTCGGATATAACGCGTTAAAGAAGCACTCTGGGGGGGCGGTGCTGCGCACTCCGGCGGATCAAAGCAAGTTCAATATAACGCGGTTTCACCTATAACGCGGTAAGATTTTTTGGCTCCCGAGGACAATGTTATATCAGGGTAGAGGTGTATTGTAGTGCACTCTCTTTATCATGAAGTGGAACTTACAAATGTAGGATTTTTTTTTTACATAACTGCACTCAAAAACAAAACAATGTAAAATTTTAGAGCCTACAAGTCCACTCAGTCCTACTTCTTATTCAGCCAATCACTAAGACAAACAAGTTTGTTTACATTTACAGGAGATAATGCTGTCTGCTTCTTATTTACAATGTCACCTGAAAGTGAGAACAGGCATCCACACGGCATTTTTGTAGCCAGCATTGTAACGTATTTACATGCCAGATATGCTAAACATTTGTATGCCCGTTCATGCTTCTGCCACCATTCCAGAGGACATGCTCCCATGCTGATGAAACTCGTTTAAAAAATGAAATGGTAATTAAATTTGTTACTGAACTCCTTGGGGGAGAATTGTATGTCTCCTACTCTGTGGTTTTACCCACTTTCTGCCATATATTTCGTGTTATGGCAGTCTCAGATGACGACCCAGCATATGTTGTTCGATTTAAGAACACTTTCACTACATATTTGACAAAAAGCAAGTAAGATACCAATGTGAGAATTCTAAAGATAGCTACAAGACTCGACCTAAGGTTTAAGAATCTGAAGTGCCTTCCAAAATCTGAGAGGGATGAGGTGTGAAACATGCTGTCAGAAGTCTTAAAAAAGCAACACTCCAATGCAGTAGGGTGAACAGATGTGCTGTTTTTAAAGGGACAGTCCCATATTTAAGCCCTCCTACAGGTGTCCGACTTTTTCTTAAAAATGGGCAAAGTGTCCCATATTTTCTGTCTCTTCCCACCATCAGTACTGGCAGGTCTTGCTGCTGGCTGATCCCTGCTCGCCAGTTTCCCGCTAACCAGCAGTAAGTGGGGGGGTCCAGTGGCCGACGATGGGGACGGGTATGAAAGGCTGGTGGCGGGGCGAAGATGGAGTGCGTGGGGCAGGCCGTTCCCCCTGCTGGTTCATCAGTGCAGACCCCACTGCGTGCTGGCTCTTGGCCAGCAGGGCCCCCCCCACCCCATTTCTGGCTGGCACTGGCAGCGCGCTGCGGTGGCTGGTGAGTGTGGGCAGGCACCAGGCAGCAGCCAGTTGCGTGTCACCTTTGCTACCTGCCCATTGGCCCTTTACGTGCCCCCCCTTCTCACTGTCCTCTCTCTGCTTTGCCCCTTCAACCCCCCCTGCCCCGCTGCTCCTCCAAATCGCCCCCAGCAGGGCGTATCTCGCTCCTAGCGCTGTGTGGAGAACCAGTCCTGGTTGGAGCATTCAGGTCACCAACAGCCTGGCTGGCAGACTCCTTCCTTCCCACACTGCCTCTGGCTAGGCCGGTGCCCTGGGAAAGTCCAAGACCCTCAGGCCTGGGGTGCTGACCAGGAGAAGGAAAGCCCTGCATGTGCCAAAGCCCTTTACAGCACTGGCATGGAGACGCCTCTCTGCCCATCTGCTAAGCTCTGGAGTGGGGGGGGGGGAAGTGATTTAACACCATCTTCTCCTGACCCCCCACCATCCTGGGTCCTGCCCCCAGGGAGTGCAGGGCTGCTCCGTCCCCTAGGCAGCCTCCTCTGCTGAGCCACCTCTCTGGCCAGGTTCGCTGAAGCCCCTGCAGTCAGGTTCCCTGGGCCCTGGTGCACAATGAATCCTTAGGGCTTAATCCCTTCCTGCCCACACTGTAGCCAGGGGACAGAAGGAGGCTGGGTTACTGGGTTATGTTGGTGGCCAGCAGCAGCCTGGAGGTGTTAGCTGCCTTTCGACACTCTGCGGGCAGGAAGGGACAAGCTGCTTCCAGGCACATGGGGAAGGGGGGAGAAGATATGAACTTTACAAAGACACAGGCCAGGTCATTCCTTCCCCCCAACAATCTGGTCTGAACCCTAGCAGAAATCTTGGGAGGGGGGCATGTGACCCTGCGTGCCCCCCATGTGTTGCCTCTGGAAGACGTGGCACCAGGTACCAGGAAAGGCAGGTCTGTCTCGATGGCCCAGCCCGGCATGAAGGGTGGAGAGCACTGGGCAGGGAGGGTCAGATAGGTCAGTCACACACACACACACACACACACACACACACACACCCCTCATGTGAGAGAGGTGTACAGAAGAGAGAGAGAGAGAGTGTGTGTGTGTGTGTGTGTGTGTGTGTGTGTGTGTGTGAGACCTCTCCCCATCTTTGGGGCGGGGTGTAGGAGTGTGTGTGTCACCCCTCCCCATGTGAACCCTAAAGCCTCAAAGATAAAAAGGTAAATAAAAAGAATCCAATTACATAATATTTCTTTTTAACAGGGGCTCAGTCAATTTGATGTTAATTTGAATGTTTGTACTGCATAATTCTGATTGATTGCCATTGAACTCATTAGAACAAGAGTAATTTTACCAGGTGTCCCATATTCAGCATAGGAAAATATGGTCACTCTACAATGCAGAAACTATAGAACCTGAACCACCAAAAAAGAAAATCAACCTTCTGTTGGTGGCATCTGACTCATATGATGAAAATGAATATGCATCAGTTCGCACTGCTTTGGATCATTATTGAGCAGAACCTGTCATCAGCATGGACGCATGTCCTCTCAAATGGTGGTCAAAGCATGAAGGGACATATGACTCTTTAGCACATCTGGCACATAGATATCTTGCGACGTCAGCTACAACAGTGGCATGTGAATGCCTGTCCTCACTTTCAGGTGACATTGTAAATAAGAAGCAGGCAGCATTAAATGTAAACAAACTTGTTTGTCTTTGCGGATACAGACTAACACGGCTGCTACTCTGAAACTTGTTTGTCTTAGTGATTGGCTGAACAAGAAGTAGGACTGAGTGGGCTTGTAGGCTCTAAAGTTTTACATTGTTTTGTTTTTGAGTGCAGTTATGTTAAAAAAAATTCTACATTTGTAAGTTGCATTTCATGATAAAGAGATTGCACTACAGTACTTCTATGAGGTGAACTGAAAATACTATTTCTTTTATCTTTTTTACAGTGCAAATATTTGTAATAAAAAATAATCATATAAAGTGAGCACTGTACACTTTGTATTCTGTGTGGTAATTTAAATCAATATATTTGAAAATGTAGAGAACATCCAAAAATATTTAAATAAATGGTATTCTATTATTGTTTAACCGTGCAATTAAAATGGCAATTAATCGTGATTTCTTTTTAATCTCATGATTACTTTTTTTAGTAGTTTGACAGCCCTAATTAAAATGTTTACTCTAATTAAGCTTAGAGTAAAAAATACTGTGGCAGTAACTCAGATACGACTGTTCAGTAACTATGGGTAAATGTGAACTTTTTAAAGGTTACCTATGAACATGTGTTGTACACAGATTAATGAAGTGTGTAAATTATCTTATTTGCACAAATGAATTGTGCAGGTATATGCGATATGTGGATATCACTACCCTTAAAGCTTCACCATATATTCCTAGCAGTAAAAGAATTGCACAACATAGAGAGAAAAAGAAAACAAAACTAAACTGCTGCTGCTAGTTACTGATTTCGTTAATTTTCAGTTATTACCTTGTAACTGTAATTTCTTACCTAGAAAATACCCAAACCAGAATTTATTATTTCAAGCAATCTTAAAGAATATTAATCTCATATTTGCAACTGAACAAGCAGTGGCACAAGTCTAAAGGTAGTACATTCTCTCTCCATAGTCAGTCATTTATATTAATAAAAGTAATATAACAACCATCACAACCATCTCCACTTCTCACACAGAAAGGCCCAATTTTGCAATATGATTTGCACCCCCAATTTCTATCTGAGTGTGTATCTAGGAAGGAGTGAGCTAAAATACTTCAGAGCAAATCATCTACTGTGTACCACTGTTGCCAGAGACTGAAGTACACTGCCTATTTAAAACACAGCAAGCTCAATTTTGTCCTCAGATGCACAGGGACAATGTTCCTTTAGTTCAGTGGAAGCTGTATCCTTCTATCAAGGACAATATTGGGCCCACGGTGTTAAGCTACACACATTTTAAACATCATTAACACTGGGCAATTTCATAAATTTAAAGTCT